ATTTTAATTTTTTTTTTTTTTTTTTTAATGATGATTGATGTGATCCCGCTCTCCACTCGTATCCTCAATAAAAGAAATATCATGATCCACTAATAGAATGGAAATGATTTAATCAAACTCTTATCAAGGATGACACAATTAACTTTTATGTTTTCTTTTTTTTTGAAGGATGATTGGTGTAATTCCACTCTCCGTTCCTATCATATATATATATATATATATATATATATATATATATATATATATATATATATATATATATATATATATGATAGGAACGGAGAGTGGAATTACACCAATCATCCTTCAAAAAAAAAGAAAACATAAAAGTTAATTGTGTCATCCTTGATAAGAGTTTGATTAAATCATTTCCATTCTATTAGTGGATCATGATATTTCTTTTATTGAGGATACGAGTGGAGAGCGGGATCACATCAATCATCATTAAAAAAAAAAAAAAAAAAATTCAATAACAATAGTCATTCTTGATAAGAATTTGATTAGATCCTTTTCATTCTATTAGTGGGCTATGAGATTTCTCTTCTTATTTATTGAGAATACGAACGGAGAGGGAAACGCACCAATTATCTTAAGAAAAAAAAAAAAACATAAGATAAGAAGACCTATTGCATAATATTGCATTATACTGCTCCCAAAAACCACGTTTCTACGTCTCCTTTTTCAACAAAACAAGGTTTATACCAAATACCGCGTTTTAGAAGCATGAATTTTTCAGCTGACATATGATACGAGTATTGAAAATTCCTCGAAAAAAAAAAAGTATTGGAAAAGAAAAAGAAAGAAAGAAAAAACGAAAAACGAAATAGGATTATTTGTACATTAGATTTCTTTCCAAGAAAAAAAAAAAAAAAAAAACTAATTCTTCAAATGGAAACATGTACCATACACTGTACACACATATCTATAGCCTAAACATAAATATTTGAAAATACATAGTCGGCGAGTATAAGGGAGTATAATTAAACAACAGTTTTTAATTTGGATCTTTCTAGTGTATGCCCAAAAATATAAATATACATAGAGAATTATTCCAAAATGCTCCTGGTCGAAATATTGCTGTAACTCCTTTTTTTGTTTTTAATTTGTTTAAATATGTGCTTAAATTTTAATTAAATTAACAAAAAAAAAAAAAAAAAAAAAAATCTAATTACATTGTTTGGTAAATTTTTGGACCACGATTTTGGTTTCATCCACACTCCACAACAAACCACCAACTGTTAGAAGTTGAAGATTCTTCGGACGTGGGTCCATTCAATTAACTAACTAATATACAAATATACGTTTTTTTTTAATTATTTCTTATCCTTCTAACTAATTACAATTTACAAAAAAAAAATTATTATTAATAGTTATAACCAGAAAATATTATGTAAAAGTTTCGGTTTCATGATCAATTCCTGTGTCATACTCTACATAAAAGTAACAACCAAAAAAGAAAAAAAAAAAAGAAAAGAAAAGAAAAAACCCCACCTCATATTTGATATTATTTATAACCAAACTAGTCCTAAACCAATAAATCCAAATTCCTATATATACAAATCCACACACCCATTTCTTTCGTCAAGTCACTGGTCACGTAAATTGTGAGTCCTACCAAAACAAAACAATTTTCAGTCCTCTCTTCTTTCTCTCTCTCTCTCTCTCTCTCTCTCTCTAGCTCTCTGATCATCATCTCACAAATGGGTTCTTCTTCAGCCATAACTGGCACAACACAAATATTAACATTGCCAATTCTAGTGCTTTGTGTTCTTCACAAAGTAAACGGGATTGATCATAATAATAACAATGTTCATCATCAGCATTTCAATAAGGTGGTAATTGGAAGAGGGAATGGTGGTGGTGTTCGTAGTAGTAGTAGTAATAGTACGGCCGGCGTCGGATCATGTGACGTTTCGCAAGGAAACTGGGTTTACGACCAGTCGTATCCGCTGTACGACACGTCCAAGTGCCCGTTTATAGAGAAGGAATTTGATTGCATACTCAATGGTCGTCCTGACAAGCTCTATCTCAAGCTCAGATGGCAGCCCAGTGGCTGCAACTTGCCCAGGTACTACTTCTAGTGCAGATTCGCTTTTTATTATTATTATTATTATTATTATTATTATTATTTGTTGGGATTTATTTTCAGAGATTGTTGAGATTTATTTCTCAATTTAACTCAAACCGGTACTAACATTATTATTATTATTATTATTATTATTAGGAGGACTTTGTAAAAATAATAGAAAAATTTTATTAGTAAAATAACTTTTTAAAAATTTTTATTTGTAAAATGACCACTTTTTATAAAGAATGATAAGGTAGTCATTTTTCATAAAAAATAAAAAATGTCATTTTACTAATTTCACTTTGTTGGATAGTCATTCTAGTATATTGCCCCTAAAGATGTCAAGAATATGATGATCTTGTGGATGAAGTTTATTTGTCTTATGCCTTGGATTCTACCATGGATTAATATTTAGATTTTAATTCTCATTCTCGTTTGTAACTAGTTTTCAAGAGAGCTGTCTACCACTTATTTATTTATTTTTTGGTGCTAGAACATAACTGTCTCTATCACTTCTCGTTACATAATTATGTCTTTTCGGGTGCGTGCTAATTTTGATTTTGATTTTTATATATAATAATAACTTATAGAAACTGCAACTTTCTGAATGCAATGATCATTATATTTATGATCAAACACTTCTAAATTTGATAAGCTATATTTTTACGAGAGAATACTGCAAACAAACCAAACAGCGTGAAAAATGTGTATGAGATATTTTTTTTTTATTCTGCTATATAAATTCGCTAATATATATATATATATATATAGACACACACTTAGTAATGTTGCAATGTTGCTTTGGAGGATGTCGGGACTTCCTAACTGCTATTTTTTAATAGAAGACTTCTTAATTGTTGTAGTATGTAACTGAAAAGGGGCAATTGTCATTTTTTTTTTAAAGAAAAGAATTGTAGTTAAATACATGTATAACCGAAACCATCAGGCACTAACTACAGTTTGTTGCTTGTTGGCGGTACAAGTGAGACTGAAAAGTGGTAGAAATAAGAACACAAGGAGAAAAAGTCCCCTGATAAGTTATGTGGGAAGGGGAAAAAAAAAGGCAAATTTCATTGCGAAGAATTTGAATATTTCAACTAATTGTTGCAAGTTGAAAAGTTTCCAATTATTATATTATTAGTCATAAGAACGTATTTTGTGGTGCATAGATATTTAGTAGTTATTACCCGATGAAACCTACGCATATATATATATATATATAAATTATTAACTTTTCTTAGGATTTGAGCTTGGGATTTCTTCTTTAAATCCACCTCATCCTTACCAATCGGGCTAGCACCAGTTTGTGAATGGAACCTACACTACACAATCAAAGTCTATATTTTAATTAATTTGACAACATTAAATCATTATGAAAAGTAATTTATCACCAAGCAACATATACTTTAGAGACGCAAGAGCAACATACTTTTGCATATCAATTAGTGAAGAGAAATGATAAATGTCTTTGTCTCTCTGTGTGTGTGTGGGTTTGTTATTTGGGCAACTCGAAAGGAAGGGTGGGGGGGTCGGTCTTTATTGTCTTTGTCTTTGAGTGCACAAGAGTTTCTAAGCATGTGGTTTTGGTGCCCAAAAAAAAAAAAAGTTCGCTAAAAGGAAAAAAGTTGGGTTTCCTTCAAAGACTACCTTACCTTATATTAAATTTCTTCTCAACATAAGGGCCAACTTAATTATAAGGTCCTAATTGGTTATTTTTTGTTGGCCTTTTTCATCCACTTTACTCAACCTTATCGGCTTTGCTCGTCACAAGTCACCAACATGTATAACATTGCATCAATGATTCAAAATTTGCCAACCTTTGTCGCTTTTGAATTTTTTTTTCTCAAAGTTCTTAATTAAGCAATATTTGAACCTTACACCCATAAAAGCAGTACAGAACTAGCTAGTTAGCTCAAAGGAAATGGTTTATTAACAAAAAAAAAAAAAAAAAAAAAAAAAAGATATTGTAATTAATGAACAAGTAAGTTCACTTTTTATTAATTATTGTAGCAGTAAGTACGCTTTATATGAATTATATTTCTTTAGTTAGGATGTAACCAAACAATTAAATTACTTACATGGTCTATCCATAGCCACGTCACAAGATTTATCTACATGTATCTGATAGATTAACTATGCTTATGATCTTATGTTGGTGTAACTCCTAAAACGGAATAATTTGGCTGATGATGATTTAAAGAATAGAGTGATGTTAATAGAGAGAACCATAATATATATATATATATGTTTTAATGTTTGATGCATACATATACGTCGAATCAATTGGTGGCATTAGTTGTTTTTTTGTATAAGATTCTCATATATATCTTGTCAATTCCATGATGGGCCACAATATTGTGGGACAAAAAGAAAGGACAATCAAATTGAATTTAGCTTACATAAGTGATCATGGAAAAACCTCAATATTCATGATCTCATGTATTATTAATTTGTTTGTGTTAATTATCATCATTTGTCAAAAGGGAAGCAGAACCTTGTCCATGAGATAATCATGGTGGCCGTGGCCATTTTGCGAGAAGACATATGGGAGGGTCCCAATTTCTGTTGGGTTCTCACATCCAACATTTACTAAAATGCGGAAACTTTAGCATAAAGACATAGGTCTTCTGTTACGTAAAGCTGCCATATTAATTTATTTTGTCCTTATCAAATGTGCATGAATTTTCTCTACTTTATTTTTTTTCTCTATAAAAGGAAAAGAAAAACATGTTTTTCTTTCATTTTTATTTTAAAGAATTTTTATGATAGGAGTTGCTCTTTTACCTTATTAGTAGAAACGGTTGTTTTAGTCGTTTGAATGAGTTTTTCAACGGTACGGTTATGAATAAAAACAGTTTCGTATCGTGCGTTATAAATTTATAATACATTTTATGTGAACATTCATAAATCATCTCGTTAAAAAATTAATTCAAAAGTTAAAACAACAGTTCTTCTCGATAAATAAAGTTGCAATTTTCTCCACTAGAGTTTCCTTTATTTTATAATTTGAACCTATATTTATGATGTAGATTCGATGGGCGAGATTTCTTGAGGAGATTAAGAGGAAAAAGAATAATGTTTGTGGGGGACTCATTGAGTTTGAACCAATGGCAATCTCTGACTTGCATGCTTCACACAGCTGATCCACTTGCCCAATATAAATCCGTTAGACTTGGAGACCTCTCCATATTTTCATTTCCGGTAAGAGTTTAAATTAATAATTACTTGCTAATTCTTCTTCATATATGCATGGGTGGGCATATATTTTTTACAGTTTTTTTCTTCTTTTTGCTATTGGAGGGAAATTAATTCTTATTCCGCTTATATGTACAGATTTTATTTCATTTCAGTTTTTTTTTCTTCTTTTTGCTATTGGGAGGGAAATTAATTCTTATTCCGCTTATATGTACAGATTTTATTTCATTATATAAAACAATCAAACTACAAAGAAATAAGATTTGGATCTATATGCAAAATACACATAGAAGATAGCAATGATTGCAAACCACAACCATAAAAAATTAAAGGGCACCTAATTGATATGAACTAAACTATAATTAATACAGGATTTTCTTAATGAGGCAATAATAATGACTCATGATTTGACAATATAACCATATCTACAACCTTAAACAGTATATCATACTTGAACAAATCAAGACTCAAGAGAAAGAAAAACGACAATGTTAGAGATCAGCAAAGACGCGCTGGAATCTTTTATTATTACCACATCATTACTAATTACGGGTATAGCTTAATTAAGGTTAATTAGTTTTCTCTCTAAAACATAAATGTTTGCATAAAAACTTGGAAGTGAGGACTTGTACATAATCTTTTTGTGGGATTAGTTACGAACTCGAAACAACTATATATTGATTCTTGATATCTTATTCAATGGTTTCAAAGTTGATCATTTGTGATCGCTAATCATGAGTCATATATAAGCTAAGACACACACACATACATATATATATATATATACATATATATACACACACTTAATTAGAGACCCTTTTTTGAACGGAATATATAAACTAATAAACAATTATATAACTTAACTTATTCTTTTTGACTCAATTTTTGTTTCATGAAACTCATTAGGTTTTCTCAAATCTAATACGTTCATTATATCAATACTATTATTTTGCAGGAATACGATGTGAAAGTGTTGTTCTCTCGTAATGCCTTCTTGGTAGACATTATAAACACAAGTACTGGGCGAGTTCTTCAACTGGATTCCATTCAGGGTGGGAGATTGTGGATGAACATCAACGTCTTGATCTTTAACACGTGGCACTGGTGGCTTCACACCGGTAGAAAACAGCCGTACGTACAAATTACAATATTTAACTACCAATTTTAAATATAGACAAAATATACAGAATTTGTCTATGATCCTCTCGGATCGGATGTTCTTCCACACAACATACAAAAGTAATAAACATTTAACGTAACACTAACGTTGTAGAGGTGTGATACTAATATAGGATAACTAAATTGTTTAGTGTTATAATTTTCCAACATTAATTAATGTTATATTGAATAAATGTTAAGTTATGTTTTTTTTTTATTCTATATATTACGTGGAAGCAGGACAATCATAGTACGTATGTAAAAGTCAATATATAGATATATTGTGGAAGCCTAGAAAATATGAAGTTGTTTTGCGTGCAGATGGGATTGGATCCAAGATGGTGATATCTTATACAAAGATATGGATCGGTTGTTTGCTTACGAGAAAGCTCTCAACACATGGGCTAAGTGGGTTGACACCAATGTTGATCCTACAAAGACAAGAGTCTTCTTCCAGGGTGTTTCTCCTGACCATAACAAGTAAGTACTTAATTAATTTTCTCTTAATTTACCGATTAATTACCATTTAATAATTAAACACGAGATCCTGAGGTAGAGATCAATAGTTACTGCCCGGTCTTCTTTTTTAAACGACATTTAGGAATTGTATTATAATCAGATTATTAGAAAATATATGCTTTTATAACAGTGAAAATTATGGTACAGCTCATTATTTGGTGATGTGCCGTGCAACTTATTTTTGAGTACCCTAAAAAAGTTTATTTTTTAGTCACTAGATGGTAATAAAAAAAAATCTGCTAGAAAATATTTTGGCTAGGTTTTACCCGATAAAAAGTGACCAAAAAACAAGCTCTCAAAATAACAAGTCGTACAATATAGTTACTTGCTTGTCTTACAGAATTTGATGACAATTAGTTATTAATGGAGACCACATTCCCAACGATATTGGAATATATCATCATAATATACTAGAGAATTCCTATGAACAACTTTTGTACGTAATTGAAGTACTTATACATCTCCGCAATATTAAGATTTATTAATTACTTCATTTTTTATTTTTTTATTTTTTTTACAGTTCAAACCAGACTAAAGTTTTTAAAATTAATTACGGTATACATAAAAAATAAAGTCAGGACTTTATCATGTACATTGTTTCTCGTTTACTCTTTCTAATTTTTTATTGAATAAATAATATATTATATTCACAAATTTCTCTGCATTTATAAATTAGTGCGAGTTCTTGGGGGGATTTGAGTGCAAAGAACTGTGGGGGACAAGCAAAAGCGCTGGACGGTTTGAGCTTCCGACCAGGGCCACACCCAGCAGAGCTTGTAGTAGAGAAAGTGGTGCGTTCAATTGCAAAGCCAGTTTCTTTGCTTAATGTCACAGCTCTATCACGGCTCAGAAAGGACGGTCACCCCTCCGTCTATGGCCACGGTGGCCACCGCGACATGGACTGCAGCCACTGGGGGCTTGGCGGAGTGCCCGGGTAGTCATGTTATACATGTAATTTTAATTTTGCAATTCTTTTTGTATTGTTTGTTTGGTGAATAATTAATGAAAATTTACGTACATATTAGTTAACTTTCCTTCTTTATTAACTGATCATTCAATTGCTTTAAACTTCCTCACTCGATTGTTCTTTTTTAACTTCCATTTATTTGATCCCAAACAAATAATTGTCGACAGTCAATTTGAGTAATATCTAAGTGTGTCTGTTTAGTGATTTATATTTTGGATTGGCTAAGACGTAATGCTGGAACAACAAGAGACTGAAGTTGCATTGATCCCCGTGAAGGAAATAATATATATATATATATAGTGTAAGAATTAAACGAGATTAATTAAGGTAATTAATATTTATTAGTGTGCCTAATTTGGTTTAATTAATTATTATTGTTGATTAAATGTTTTCTAACATGTAAATTTAAATAATTCCAAAGTATTTAAATATTTTCAGTATTTACATTTTCCCCAGAAGTGTGTATAAACACATTTTTTAGACTATCATTTTAAATTCTTGGACACCTATTTTTCTTTTCTTTTTCTTTTTCTTTCCTTTTCCTTTCTTTTCCTTCCTTTCCTTTCCTTCCCGAGCACCCTCTCTCTCTCTCTCTTCACTCTCGTTCTCACTCTCTCTTTCTCTCTCTCGTTTTCTCTCGTAAATCAATCGGATTTCGAACCAAAGAAGAATTTCAAAGAGTTTCCAACATCAAGAGAAGGATTTGAGGTAACATTTCTGAAAAACCTCTCTTGAATATCAAGTTTTTCAGATTTAAAAACTTATTTTTAGTTTGAAATGAATTTTGATGGATTTTGAGTAAAACCATGGTAGAAATTGGAGATCTTGGGTTCTTTGGACTTGATTTAGTACTTAGAACTTGGATCTAGTGGTTTTCCCTTGAGTTATTTCGAACTGGAACTAAAATTGCAGGTTTTCGAACTGATTTTGGTGAGTTTTCCTCGCCCTGCTGATTCCACCGGTCGACCGGATTGCATTATAACAGGTCGACCTGTGCGGTCGACCAAAGTGCACACTATTGGTCGACCAGTGGTGTTGCACTGCTCTATCACCGGTCGACCAGTGTACATGGGGTTTGACCTAGTTTTGTTGAAAAACCTTATTTTGACCTCGATTTTCGAGGAGAACCCATATTAGTTTTATTTGGGGACCTAGAGTGAATGGATTAGCTTCTTTAATCCATGTTTTGAGATTGAAAAACCTTGAAATGATGATTTGAAACATGAAATGGTTTGTGAAATCGGTAATTGAATTATGGCACACTAATAGGAAATCAAATGGTATAATTGAGATTGAAATTGCTTTAGGAATGTGAATTGGATCCTAAAGTGTGGTTTTGTATCAGTGCTAGTTGAGGACTCGGATTGAGGGGCTTGAGGAAGCGAAAGCCAAAATAGAGTAACGCAAGCCACATGTTTGGTATTTGAGAGGTAGGATTTCTTACCCTTTCCTTTGTGAGCCTGTTTTCAAAAGAGTTTTGGCCTTGCAAATGTTTTAAAGAAAAGGCATGTTTGCGAAAGAAAAATATTTTAACCCCCATGGCTTGTTATAGTTCTGGGGAGTATAATGAACTGTTTCATAAAGTTTAATGAATGATTTCTTAAGATAAGAGATTTTACAAATCAGTAAACCAGCTGATGGCCTAGATAGGATGTGGAGAGTGCATCCTTGGGGGCAAGACCCGAAACCCGGCCTGGGGTGATATGACTTGTGCATGTGGTTGTGTAAGTAATTTATCATAGCATAAATTACTTGCTGATGCATGTAATACAGAGATTTTCAGATATATTTCCTTTAAGAAAAATATGTGAGGTTCCGGCTGTTGTGTTGGAACTGAATGTGCCCCATTCATTTCGTTGATTCGAGTTTTGCTACAGTAAAAAGCTTTCAGAAACAGTCACATCTAACTTTTTTGCTACAATAAAAAGCTCTCACACAACATCACATCTCAACTCGAATTAAAAACTCAAATTAGCGAACCGAACGGATATTTATTTAATTGCTTATTCATTTATTTATTTACTCATTCATTTATTTACTATGTTTTATAAAATATATCCTACTGGGTCTTTTACTCACGTTTTTTTTATTTTATAAATATTAATCCCTCTCAGGCGACTCTAGGAGCAGTGCAGAGTAGCTGAGTTAGATTGCTACCACCAGATTTGGTGAGGATTGTGATCATCTTCACTGTGTACGAATGTAAGAATTGTAAATTAGATTTCTAGACTGTGGTTGATGTCTGTAATGTTATTTACATATTCATGTATGTACAATGCTGCATATCCTGTGGGTGAAGCCCTGAACGGTGTTATAGGCTTAGTTATAAACCTCTTGTAGTCAGCAATTTATTTTCAGTGAAATGTGGGGCTCGTTTGGGAATTTCCTTAATATTTTATTCTTAATCGCGTTTAATCTCTAATTGAGCCTCCACGTCTCCGACCCCAACTTCGGGGCGTGACAAAGAGAGAGAGTTTGGAATTGATATGGGCCTATGGGGTTCAAACGATATTAATAAAAAGGAGAAAGAGGGAAATAGACTAAGACTTGAGATGAATTAAAATTAATAGGTCAATAGTTTACATAAGTTAATAAATATGCCAAATTACTGTTTTCGTCCATAACTTGTCTGATTATGAACCATAACTTGACAAGTTATTGTCCATAACTTGTCTGACTATGAACCATAACTTGATAAGTTTGTCCATAACTTATCTGGTTATAAACCATAACTTGACAAGTTATGGCATATTAATTTTTATAACTAAAAATTAGCCTATATACTTTTTTAAGCTTTTCATATTGACCTATTTTCTACTATTTTCCTTAATAAAATTAGATCTTCATATTATAAATAGCAATCAACCACCTCATTTCAGAAATTCTAGCAAGAAAAAAAAAAAAAAAAAAAAACTTCATTAATTATTCACTACAAATATGGCCCTTTTGTTGAATATTCGAACAGTACATGCCTCCAATGATGGAGCCACATAGTAAATAGTAAATTCTTAGGTACGTATTCCCAATTAATTTTTTAAAATATTTGGTCGTACTCTCTTTTTATAAAAAAATTATAATTGTACCTACTGTCACTAATTAAATTATATCATTTATATATAATATGCGCATATAGATATATTTAATGTGTCATACTTAAGAATTGGAATATGTACTTAGGCTAAGTTTTCAGTCCGGTAATGGACCGGACTGGAACAGCACTTAAATTGGCCTACAAATATTATATTGTTTAAGTAATATAAGTCACGTGTTTAATAATTGTTCACTTTGACAGATTTTTTTATTTTAAAGTTTGGTGGGAAATTTTTATCTTATTCAGTACAGGGGTAGAAAAGTAATACAGCTTGTATAAAAATGAAGTAAGAGTACATATATTGTAGCAAATGTCCATGAGTAACGATAGTGTATAATTCCGGTTGAAACATGTATCTCCTTGTTCAATTAAGTGAACAAATAACGTGATAATATGTACATTCATTGAATTGTAGTAGTTCATGTTATTCAAATTTTTTTTTTTTTTTTTTGTCCTTTGGTTGTTTGTAGATTGAACAAACGGCTTAACGTAATGTTCAAATGTGTGGGGTATAATTATGGAATTTAGTCAGTACTTGTGATGTTTAAGATGCTGGTAAGTTATAATGTAAATAGGCCCCATAATCAAGAACATAGTCTAATTAAAGTGGCATAATTAGAGACTCAAAATATAGTTGTGAAATTGGCCACATAATCACGTTCGTACTATAATTAATTTGATGACTAAGTTGTACCTAAGTACATCGTAAACAAAATAATATGATTTGTTGATGTCCTTTGATATACTCACGGGACAAGTGAAGATGGTGTTTTTTGTAATGACCTGCATAGTTGGAAAAATACAGTACACAATTAAAATGCATTTTTGATCTGACAATGTTAAAACCGCAATATATTCAACTCCTAATACTGTTAATTTTTTTGGACATGCTATTAACTAATTAGAAACATGTTATACGCGTACATATTAAAGGAAATAAGATATTCATTAAGAATAAACAAAAGCATATTTCCTTTCCGAAATTAATCTAAATTAATTGCAACATTTAAAGGGTTTAATTACACAGTTGTTACAAACATTTTTATTCCAAGGATTAATTCGCAACTTAATTCTGAAATTAAAATGTAACAGTACTTTCTAAATAAAAAATATGCATATTGAATGTCAATTTCTTAACCACCTATGTATAATTTTAAATACACGAATATATCAACTTAATCTCTATATTAACCCACCATTAATATGTAGCAGGTCTCACTCAAAATTAAATTTCAAAACGTCACCTCAAAATGTTATTTTTCTAACGGAATCACCGTCTCTCTATTAACGAGAAAGAAAAGAGGGACAGAGCATTAAGTGTTAGCAATTTTCTTAATAAAAAACAATAAAAACGGAAGCCCAAGATCATACCCCCACTGATAGTGATATTGGAGGCTAGTTATAACCTAGTATTATTCAACTTTTATATCCGGCACTGTGTATTAACTTATTGATCACGTGGTTTGACCACCGACCGAGTTGATTACTTTACAATATTTTAGGGGTTGTTGTTTTGTCTAAAAAACTCAAAAAAATAATTCGAATTCTAATTTTATTCAAGTTCATGTTCTTTTAAGTTTTAATTTTATTCAACTTTACTCAACTTTATTCAACTTTACTCAACTTTATTCAAGTTACAACTTTAACTCAAGTTATAACTCAAATCCAACTAAAAAACTACACTCAAGTTACCCTCCAAAAGAACAATCCCTTAGTATTTTACCCCAATATTTCATTATTACTTTTATCTGACCCCAAAAAATTA